CTCAGTGTTAGAAAGGTAGAGACCTTTAGATCCCTGGGGCTGACTGACTGGCAAACAGCTAGACACAGGAGCTAAAGCAAAAGATCTCCCTTATTGAGGTATGATAGCACTGTTGAAGTTAACCATTCGTAAACTTAGATCACTTTATTGTTTTCATCATGCTGGGGGTTGAATCTCAGGCCTCACGAAGGCTAGGCAGGTACTCCACCACTAAGTCGTAGCCCCAGCTCAGAGATCATTGCTCTTTTAAGGTCCTTAGCATGTGGACCTTGTGAAATATATAGATTATAGTTTGTTTGTTTGTTTATTTATTTTGGTTTTTCAAGACAGGCTTTGTCTGTGTAACAACTCTAGCTTTCCTGGAACTAGTTCTTATAGATCAGGCTGGCCTCGAACTCACGTTAAATAATCTTAGGTAAAATATTTGTTGTGTGCGGTGCTAGAGATCAGGTACTGCAGCACGTCCCTGCAGGCCCCGGCCTTGTGCATGCTGTGAAAGTGCCCTACTACTAGGTTGTTCAGTTCAACAACCTTCGTGGAGAACCACAGTACTAAATACAGTCTTGGGATGCTGTAGAAGATGAGAGATTTTTATCCCATCTTAAAAACAGTAGCTCTCAAGACCTGGAGAGACATCTCAATAGTGCTTGGTACTCTTCCAGAAGACCTAGGTTCAATTCCCAGTGCCTAAAAAGTGGCTCACCATCTATAACTGAATTTGACCCTCCCACTTCCTGGGAAAGCTGTTGTTGCTATTGACATATAGTATATGCTATGATAGGTACACACACACACACACACACACACACATACAATTTCGATTTTTTGTTTTGAGACATGTAGCCCTGGCTGTCCTCTGCCCTCCAAGTGCTGAGGGTAAAGGTGTGCACCACCACATCTGACAGTAATTTGAACTGTTGAGTTTCAACTGTGCTGTCAATTTTGGTAAAAATGTCAGTTTTACTGGGTCAGTTTAGCAGTGTACAATTGTGTAGAAATTCACAAACATTATTCTAACAATGTTAAACTACTGTTTTCCCTTTGTGCAGAGGTAACAGGCCTGTATTAACCACGTAAGGTCTTATCTACAGTTCGGTGGTGGAGCAGGCACCTGGCATGCAGAGTCAGAGATCTGTCTTCAGGGCAGCAGAGCAGAGCAGAGCCATTGCAGTCCTCACACTCAGCCACCTGTGCCGTCCCCAGGTCCTCGTGTTCTTACGTGGGATGTGTGCCTCTTTTATTCTTCTTGTCAAATCCCTTAAACACGCACAGTGCGCACCCGTTCTGGTATTTAAGCCCCACTTACACTTCCATCTTTTCTTTCTGTGGCACAAGGGGTTGGCCAGGGCCTCATACGCCCTCATCGCTCACATTTTGAGACAGAGTCCTAACTGAGCTCTATCCGCAGCCTTTTTCTGCTCTTGGACAGTCTTTGAATTTACTCTGTAACCCAGGCATGTCTTGAGCTTGCAACCTCCCTTCCCAACTTCGCAGGGGCTGAGATTACATGCCCCTGCCACTAGCCCAGTCTTGTCACTTCCTTACTGCTTGGCCAAAACCTAAATGTCCACTAGGATTTATCAGTTTACTGTTAGGAAAGGTGTGAAAAGACAAACAGGAGGGAGGTCAAAGCCGGGCCTTCCTGGGAATGGGACTAGTGTGATGATTTGGGAATCAGGAGATACTGTTTATTAGTTAAATTCTGAGAATGGTAACTAGTGCCCCAGATATAAGAGTTTGTGAGGGATAAAAACATGCCAGTACTGGTTTCTGTAAATTCAAGGCCTGGTCTACAAGAGCTAGTTCCAGGACAGGCTCCAACGCTACAGAGAAACCCTGTCTCGAAAAACCAAAAAAAAAAAAAAAGCCAGTAGTCAGGAGATGGAGGGGAATGAGGGGGCGATGAGGCATACCTTTAATCCCAGCTCTTGGATTTAATCCCAGGAGAGGTAAGTGGGTCTCTGAGTTCCAGGCCAGCCTGGTCTACAAAGGCAACCCAGAGAAACCCTGTCTTTGTCAGTGAGGTTTGACACTGGGTGACACCGGCACATGCTGAGAGCGGAGGGAAGGAGAATGATGCAGATCTAAGGATCCACCTTTGCAATGGCAGCGCCTAGAGCTCACTACTCACTAAAGGCCTAAGTGTTACTTTGTATCTTGAGCTTTTTCAGGTTTGGTCAGAGGTAGAAGAGTCAGATACTCGAAGGCTATCAGTTCACCAGGCTCCTTGAAGATGGCTGTTCTTAAAAGGGCATCTCAGAAACCACATCTGCGTGCCAAGGGGAGTTTAGTGGATCCTATATAGGTTTGTATAGTGCTATCTAGATTGTTGAGTGGATTGAATCAGTTTCTGTGTTTAAAAATGGTTATTCTATAGACATGTCCCCATTTCTAGTGTTGTATTTGAGTTAGTTATCTCTAGGATTCCACAGGACATTTTTCTTATCTATCACCATATAAAAGAATCTGTTTACATAATTCTCCCACTAGAGTAGGCTCATAGAAGTGCTGTCATGTCCTATCTACCTTCTTACCTAAGGGCACCTGGCCTATTAAGTAAACCCTCAGATATTAAGTGAGAAAAAGTTTTCTCTTGCTTCTCATCCACACATTTATTCCTCCAGCTTGGACTAGAGTCTCTTGTTCATGTAAAGTATATTTTGCAAGCTGCATTCACACATATGCAGGTTAACATCAACTCAACTTCCAAAAAGACAGATCTAGTGGAAAGTGGGAGCGAGGATGGTGTCCTAGCAAGAAGGAAGAAATCAAAGGCACCCAGAAAAAGTAATTAGTGGTGAAGAGAAAACAAACATGAAAAGCAAAAAAAAAGTAGAATAGGAAAAGAATGAACAGGAGATGGAAAAGAGCCCTGGAAGAGAATGGAGAGGCAGGTTCTGTGTCAAAGAAACCTCCTGACAGCTGTGACCATAATGAGAACTGACAGCTAACTAGCCGGCCAGTCTGGTGTGATTAGGAAAATGGCATTATCTCCACGCAGTGGGGATGAAGGAGGTTAAAGGGAGAGAAGAACCAGTCACTTGCCTTCCCCCACAGGTTGAAAGGGGGAAAATGTATCTATAGAGATTTGCCAGGAATTTAAAACAAAGGAGCTGTTTCAGTCCAATAAACCCCCCAACTTCCCAGGTGCTAAAGATGGCCTCCTCCACTGCTCTGGTGGGGACATCCAGAATCACAGAGTGAAGAATAGATTTACTCACCTCCGTCTGCGGGGAGCCTGCTGCCACAGTAGCATCGACGTACCATGAAACCAGCATCTGATCCCTGAAAGTACCACTAAGACCTAGTTTTTCTTTTCTTTTTCTTCCTTTCTGTCTTCCACTTGTGGTACTCCTGCATACACACCCCATATCAGGATTACAGTTCTCCATCATCCCACCCAACTGGACCTGATTCTTTAAGTTTCTTAATTTTGGGGGGTTGTTATTTTGTGGTAGTTTCATATAGTCCAGGTTGGTCATGAACTTCCTATATAGCCAAGGATGACCTTAGGTTCTTGATCCTCCTGCTTGTTCCCCAAGTGCTGGGGCCACAGGTGTACCTGAGTGTCTTTCTGAATCTGGGTCTGAGACTTTGAATTTTTATTTTTAAAAACAAGTTCCTTTCCTTTAGCATAAAGATTTAGTGATATTATCATCTTATAAGGGTGAAAATCTGGAGAATTTACTAAGGGTTTTGTTTGTGTGTGTGGGGGGGGTTGGGTGGGAAGGTTTCCTGGAGTTGAACCCTGGGCTTTTCATATGTTCTACTGCTGAGTTATACCCTCATTTCTAGGAAGTCAATCCTTTCAGAAAAGCAAAGTCTTAGAGAAAATTCTGAACTTTACTGTTGTGGAAACACAAAATTAAAAAAGAAATTATAATCTCATTTCATGACACCTGCCATATATACTTATATTTTAAGACAATATTCTTGTCAGCTGTGTAGCATGACTTTAATCCTAGCAACAAAATAAAAAAATATAAAATAAATATATAAAAATAATTAAAAAGATAAGATTCTCATCTATCCAGAGCTGGCCTCTAACTCATTGTGTAGTCGAGAATGATGCTGGCTTATTTCATGCATACTAAGCAAGCTCTACCAACTGAGCTACAAGCCTAGTTCGTTCATTAAGCCATTATTATTTATTGATTTTTTTTTCAAGACAAGGTCTCGTTACGTAGTCCTACCTGTCCTGGAACTAACCCTTGCAGACCAGCCTGGCCTTAATCCACCTGCCTCTGCCTGGGATTAAAGATGTGCACCACCACCAAATGGCTTGAGGTATTGTTTTTAAAAATTATTTTATTTCATGCGTTTTGAGTGATTTGCTTTCATATGAGTATCTGCACTACATGTGTGCCAGGTGTGCCTGGCACCCAAAGAGGCCAGAAGAGAATGTCAGAGCTCCTGTAACTGGAGTTAACAGATAGTTATGAGTCACTATGTAAGTATTGGGAATTGAACCTGGGTCCTTTGGAAGTACAGTCAGTGAGCCAATGTTCCAGCCCCAGTGTGTGCATTCTTAATAATAGGAACTTCCTTTCTTGGTAGAAATTTTTCCTTTCTGATTACAATATTAGATCTCAAAAGTCATAAAATTTTATATCAGCTATCTTGTTCTATAGATTCACTGATGTCAACAGGCTGCTTGAGATCTGGCAAAGACTGGTGAACAGCTTTTAAACCAAACGAAACAACACAAAGTTGTGTTTTGGTAGAAAGTCCTAAAGTGAAAACCTAGATGTTGCCTGGAGACTGGGCAAATGCCTTTTAAAAGAAAGAATCTCCGTTTAAAAACGCCCTTTTCCCTCACAGTGAAATCACACTCAGTGGAGGTTGTTTCAGGACAAAGCCGAGTAAATTAAGTATTTCTATACCATATGTTTTGTTTTGGCAAGAGAAAAGAGTGGGAAGGGATTCTCCGTGCCAGCGAATACCAATATTACACTCCATCTGGCTATTTATTCACAAAATAAGGAGAAACACACAAACGCTTGGCCAAAACACCTTTAATGACGGAGGGACACATACGTGTATCCCTTACTCTGCTCTTATACATATCTCTGTGTTAGGAGCTCTGGAGTCACTACTTTAGAATCATCGCTGACATCAACTAACAGCAAATCCAGTCTCCCCCTCAGAACTCCTGCTCCACGGGATCCTATGTGAAGAGTAAGTACTACATCTCACTACAAGACAGAGAGGCAGGGAGGAACCACTTGAAGCTTGTCTCTCAATGTCTGGGACTCTTAGAAGCAGACAAAAAAATCAAGACGTAAGCTCTGGTCCACGATCAGGCAAAGCTGGGGAGGGAAGGGGTTTTGAGAAGATGAAGGACATACAAGGGGCAAGGGAATAAAATCGGGAGTCATCTAAAACTAAAAGCACTCTAGTGCCCGAAGTCCCCATGACCCCTGGTGCTGCTGCAATACCACCTCACCATTAGCTCAAAGGAACATCGTGAATGTCATATTCAACCAGAGCAGAAGTTCCTCTCCCTTACGTCCCATCCCATTCTTTAGCAAATAGGTTCCTAGAAATCCCTGTTTCAGCAACACTCCTTCAGTCATGATTACTTCACTAACCACCCTCACCAATAAGGCTCTTTAAAGTTAAGAACTTTATACTTTATATAGCCCATGGCCTCTTGGTTAGGAGGCCATGATAAATGAAGGAGTCCTTGCATCTTGACCAGTCAACTTCTTTGCCCTAATCTGACAAGTCCAGAGACATACTGAAAAAGCATCCCAATCCTTCATTCTTCTTTGCCAGCACCTTCTGGAGTAGGGGGAAGAGAAAGAAGTTATACTTGCTACTTTTCTCTAGTGTGCCTGGTAGGCACCACCTGGGTACGGGAGGCAGAAACAGGAGAGAGGCTATGTTCTCCTCTGCCCTTCTGGATCATGTTGGGGTCACCTTCTCAAGCACAGTTCCTGGGCTTACTAGCAATGATGGTGCTACAGCCGAAGTAGCAACGCAGGTGAATCTAGAACTCCAGGGCTTGGTGCTTAGGCCACCTGACAGTAACAACTGTGTACCAGTTGTAGAAAGGTAAGAAATCCACCCCTCACAAGCTTCTCAAGAAGGTCAAGATCACTACGACGAAGATGGTGGTTCTCGTGTGCCTGCCAAAGGGAAAGGGAGAAGAGGAAAGGGCTCCCCTTGAGAATGAAAGCTATAGAGAATTCATTTTCCTTAGTTACAAAGAACAAAAAGGTGATACAAATTTCTTAGAGGGCATTCCCTTTTAAATGCATTTTTTTGTTTGTTTTTTGTTTTTGAAGACAGGGTTTCTCTGTAGCTTTGGAGCTTTTCCTGGAACTAGCTCAATTTTTAAGCTCAGGGACTAGAGAGAAGCCACTAGAAACATCATGTCAAAACTTGAGAAAAGGGGAGGTTAAAGTTAAGTCTTGAAAGTCCTTCTATGGAGCGCTCAGTTTTTGTGCCCTGGGTCATGGGGACTGGGTACAGAAAATAGGCTCATGGGATGGCAGGGTCATCTTTTCGAGGGAACGAGGCGAGCCCTGAAGAAGTAATGGAAGAGGAACAGCCAGGGACCAAGGAAAGAGTAGCAATATTCTGAGGGCCATGGGGTGCAAAGGGTGGTACCTGGTGGTGAGCCAACAGCGTGTGCTTCTTGAGGGTAGGACGGTCAAGGAAGCCCTGCCTGCAGAACACACAAGTGAAGAGCGGCCCTTCCTTAGGATGGTTCTTCTGGTGCTCTTCCAGAGCTGCCTGGGCAAGAAAGGTCTGGCCACACACTTCACAGGCCTTTCTGCTGCTTCCCTCTCCTGGCTCCTCCACCAGCGGGGTGCTGGTGCCCTCCCCTTCTTGGGTGAGTGCTGCAATGGGGCTTGGGGTCTCCTCCAATTTGGCCTCTTCTTCTATGCCTCCGGAAACATCACTGGTTCCCTGCTCCATGGGCTGGGGATGATCAAGGTTGTCGGGTGGAGGTGGTGGCAGAGATTGTTGAGTCGCTTTCTCACTACTATCCATCTCTTTCCCGGTGGTGGGTGCTGCATTCACTGCTCCCACTTCCTCCTCTGCCCCCGATACCTCTTCTGAGTCACCTCGCACAGATATGGCCTTTTCACCCCCACTCTCCGAGCCTCTTCCTGCTAGGGAATCTTCATCTGTCGCATCTTCCTCTTCTTCCTCATCCTCTTCCTCTTCCTCAGACAACTCCTCTTCCGGTGATGGTTGTTGGGGTTGCTGCTGTGGGAAACTCCCTGGTCCAGAGACTGTAGATTGCTCAGAGCTGTTCTCCTGGGCAGCTCCCCCACCTTCAGGGAGTGTGGAACCACCGTTGGGGATTTGACCCCCCAGGTGCATTCGGACATGTTGCTGCAGAGTGACCGCGTTGGTGAACTTCTTCTGGCAGATGGGGCAGGAGTTCTGGGCCCGGGCAGCTGAACTGGTCTTGTGACCCACAAAATGTGCACGCAAATTGCCCCTTGTGGAGAAAGCTCTGCCACACACTTTACACTTGAAGGGCCGCTCACCTCCGTGTTGTCCATAATGCAGGCGTAGAGCCCGGGGACAGCTCAGTACCCGGAGACAGATGACACACTGGTTAGGTCCTGAAGATGAAGATGAAGGTGCAGGGGCAGAAGTGGTCGGAGCTCCTGCGGCAGTAGAGGCCACTGCCACAGCTCCTTGACGATCAATCTTTTCTACCAGCTGCTGCAACTTTGAGGTCTCAGAAGGTGAGGTCCCCAAGGGTTCTAGCACATAGGGGAAGGGGAAACTTCCAGTTGACTTCAGGTGATTAGTAAGCAACGCCCAGCTTGGCAGCGATGTCACCAGCTTACTTAGCTGCATTCGGGTTGCTGCGCCACCGTCTGCTACTCCAGTAATGCCTGAGCCCTCACTCCCTGGAGGAGTATTTTCATCAGCTTTACTCTTGGGCTCCACGGCTTTCATGAGCACAAACTTGTTGAAAGTAGGGAGCCCAGGAGCCACGGATGCACTTGTGCCAGTGGACAACAGTGTCAGGCTCTCTGTGGCACTGAGTGCTGTGGTGGAGGCCACTAGAGGTTTGCGTTCAACGCCCCCACCGGGCGTGACTGCCTCCTCTTCTGCTTTTTCCGGCGGCACAGACATTCCATAAGGCAGCCCACTGCTGGTGATAACGTAGTCTAGGTGCTCCGGCACTGGATGTGGATTCATTTGCACGTGTGGGTACTTCTCACGATGCCTATGGAAATGTACTTTGAGGTTGCCCCGAGTAGTGAAGCGATTACCACAGACGTTGCACTTATAGGGCCTCTCCCCAGTGTGGGACCGAAGATGGATCTGCAGGGCGCTGTCACTGCCAAATACTTTGGCACAAAAGCGGCATTTGTGCCTTCCACCAGGCTTTTCCAAGGAACTGATCACTTCCCCATAGCCCAGCTCACCACTTCCATTCTTTGGCTTCAGGAGTCCTGGGGAGGCCGCAGCCTCAAGACCCCTTGCTGCCCCAAGACACTGAGCTGCCAGGAGTCCTGTGGTGCCTGGGAATGCCAGATGAGGCGAGGCAATCAGCTGATCTGTGCTGCCTGACAGGGCGGGGGAGGGGGCAGGGGTAGGTTTGTGGCTTCGCCCTACCCCTCCGACAGAGAAGGGATGCTGCGATCCCAGTGGGTGGTAAAGGTGGAAGAAAGCCTGCTTAGGGGGTTCTGCCCCTGAAGAGGAGGAAGAGGAGGACGAGGGTGCCAGTGTCTTGCCAGTTTGGACAGGTTTGATGGGACTGAAGAGGGGCAGTAGGGGCTTGGTGGAGGAGGCAGTCCCTGTTCCAGGGAGCTCTGAGGGACTGGTAGGGGCACCCACCGTCTGCCCTAAGGAGCCAAGTAGCAGCACCTGGCGGCAGATTTGTTCTGTCATCTGCATCTGATGGATCTGGCGCTGCTGAAGCACCCGCAGCTCTTCCAAGATCAAAGGGATGTTCAAGTGGCCACTGCCTGAAGGTGGAGGGGGAGGTGGTGGAGGAGGGGGTGCAGGGGTAGATTCTGGAGGTAATGGGGTTGCTCCCAACTTGGGACTGGCCAAGATCAGGCCCCCACCTCCCCCAGTCGCTGTACCTGTGGCAGCGACCAGAAAATGCCCAGAAGACTCTTCTCCTCTCCGCTCTGGCCCCCAGGTAGGATCAGGGAGCCCAGAAGACCCAGAATCTGGGGGATTACTGTGCTCTGTGTCCATGACCTGGGGCCTACTGTGGCCCTCTGGCCGGGGTGCAGAGGAGGCTGAAGAGTTGCTGGGGTTCTCCTGGCCCCCAATTATCACCATTACGGGTGGGTCAGTACAACATGCATTCTGGTGAGCGAGGAATTCGGTCGGGTCAGAGAATTGTGCGCAGCATTTGGTACAGACTTGGGGGTGGTCCTCCTCGCTAGCATCACCTAGGGGGAAGACAAGGAGAGAGTGTGGGTAATGCGGTTTTGTTGGGTAACGGAAGCTATAAAGAACGGGCAACCCAGGTACCGCGGGTTAGGGTGGGAAGGAAGCTTACAATCAGATCCTGCATGAAGCTAGCGCTCGGACTGGACCCGACCCGCGTGGCTCCCGGACACCCAGCAAAAGGGGGAGGGGGACAGAGCGCGCACATTCCGAGCCTCCTCCGTCACCCCTCCCCCTCCTATGGCCCAGGAAGAGTGGGAATGGATGTGAGAACTGGGGCCTATGTGTAGAATCACACATTTTATCCGTCCACTTAAAGTCCTTATATGCAAGCGTCCCCTCAGCCCCCATCTCTGCCCAAGCCTGGCCCTACCGCACCTCCGCGCTCCGCAGGCTCCCCGCAGGGCCCCCCGAGTCGAGAGCTGCTCCCGGTTTCCTGCGCCATGGCCGTGGGGAAGTGGACAGCGGGATAGGGTAGAACACAATGGGTATCCGGTCTGGGGAGGGGTCGGTGGCCGCCGGCGCTGCGGCAGTCTCTGCGCCCAGCGGCCCAGACTGCAGAGGAGATCGGCGGTGGCGGGGGCAGGGAACAGCGGCAGAGGGGGAGGGGAGCGAGAAGGCGCAGAGGAGGGGGAGGAGCTGGAGCGCGAACGCTGGTAGAGGGAGATGGGGGGGGGGGAGGAGCTGCCAGGGAGGAGGCAGGAGCAGAGAGTGTGTGCAGGGGGGGCAAGCTAGGGAGCTTTACCCTGGCTCTGGGACAGGTGCTGTGACGCACCTTAGGGGCCCACTGTGCCCAGTTTCCCACCCACCCGAGATGTCTTTATCCTAGCTGCTCCCACCGGATCAGCCCCAAGCACTCAGTGGGAAACATTGCCCGCTCAATAGATTAAGGCGATAGGCTTCAGTAATTTTTCTTCGGATAAAGGATCTGCTGAGCTTGGAAAAACGTGGATTCCAAAGGGTGGTCGGCCGGCCTCAGAGGTCGGAGGACAAAAATGGGAGGAGCCACCCAAACACCCACCCCCCTTACCAACACGCACAGCACAGAAAGATCTCAAGCTTTATCTTCGTTCCTACTCCCATTCTATCCTCGTCCTTCTTTAAAAAGAAGTTTCTTAGGGGGGGCGATTGCAAGATTCCCAAGAAAGTAATTTGAGGACCCCTTCTTGAGGAACACTAAGCCCTTCCCCCAGAATAATAGGTCAACACAAGCTAGTCCTCAGGCTACCGGCCCTATACCAAAAGCATAGAGTTCGTACTTAAAAGAAACCCTCTCCTGCTCCGTACCCTCTTCTCTACTGCCCACTCCCCCTCCCCACCCCCTGCTCCCGGTCCCTAACACGGACAATTAAAGACTTTAGCTTGCAAAAGCCTATGGAGGTCCTTCCAGCTCCAACCTTGGGGGAGGGGAGCTCCTCCTGAAACAATGAGTAGGATGCGGAATGGGCTCTCACAGTCTGCCGCTCCGAGTCCAAAGTCCCTAACATCCCCCAACTAGATCTGAATTCCTAGACAAGACTGGCACCTGCTCACCTCCACCGGGGTGCCTCAGACCAGGTACTCTGCATTCCTTTTCTTCCTTGAAATGAGATTTAAAGGGTCTCTCATTTCCTAAAATCCTTTATTTTTACATGTAAAAAGTGATCTCTGGTCTTGGATTTGTGGTTTGGTGGTGGTGGTCAAAAACTCATATTGTCCTTTTATTTATTTTTATATACTTTGAACCATGTTCTTACTATGTAGCTCAGGCTGAGTCTATGTAGTGTGGCTGAGTCTAGTGAGAAGCTCTATAACCCTTCTGTTTCTTCCTCAAATGCTGGGGTCACAGTCTTGCTCATACACACCCCCCACACACTCACAGTTTCTCTGTATAACAGCCTGTGCTGAGCTGAAACTCACCCTGTAGCCCAGGTTGGCCTTGAACTCACAGAGCCTCTGCCTCCCAAGCACTAGGGATATGCCACCAAATATGCCACCATCTCCATTTTTTTATAAAGAGATAATATTTTATGTATACTATCCTTATCAGAGGAATATTTTGAAAGCAGAAAAATTGAAAATCGTTTTTTGTTGCCCCCCCTTTTTTTTGTGCGTGGTACTGAAAAGGAGCCTTGTGCCAAGTGTCTCACCACTGAGCTGTATGCCCACTATAAGATGCTAGAAAGGTGGTATTAATATATAGGAATTTCCATAAAAAAGAGAATGTAAATGAGGAACTTTTTAAAGTTTAAAGAGCCTTAAATATCATGGAACAGAGATTTATATTTTTAATAATAAGATTACCTAAAATAAACACACACTAAAATAACATTCTTTTATTTGTTGGTTGGTTGCTTTTTTTTTTTTTTTTTAATAGAGTCTTCTGTAGCCTAGACTGGCCTCAAACTCATTCTATGGCTAAGACAGACTTTGGACCACTGCACCTCTGCATGACTGAGCTATGTGCTTAGCCCTCATCCCTCAATTTTGTTAATTTTTCTGCAATATCTAAGTTAGATATGTCTAAGTTAAAGCCTATTTTGGGGGTGGGGGGGGATGAGAGGGTGGGAAGGTCAAGTGAACCAAAATCAAGTTTTAGTAAATCTAATCAAAATTTTAGTAACTAGTCTGAGAGTGGTGACCCTCAGGAGGCAGAGGCAGGCCGGTCCACGTGTCTACATAGGGAGACCCTGTCAAAAAAGAAAAAAGTAAATACTGCCTTTATAAAATGAAAATAATTTACAGGGTGATGTTTTAAAACTTCAGATGATCTCAATGATTTTAGCCTTGTGAAGGTGAGCACTGAAGCGGATGAGACCTGGCCTTTGCAGGTGAAGAAGGTGTCCGTTTCAGTTAGTCCGAGACACAGGTAGGTGCAGAAAGCTTTAGTTTTACAGATAAGGAAACCGAAGATGGCAGAGGTTAAGTGACTTTTCCAAGTTCACAGAGTAATTCAGCAGAGCAGCATTCAGGTCTTTGGCTCCTGACCAGCTCCTCAGGCACACCCTAAGGCCAGAGAAAGAGGCCTGTGTGGCTCCTCCCTGCCCTCCGGTTGGAGAGAAGAATCAGACGGTGACTTTCTACCTAGCATTTGTTAATTAGCCCCGAACATTTGATATCCCATTGCTGTTGTGTCAAGTTCTTTTCTTTTCTTCTCCTGAGAAACAGTGTCCCCTTTCTTGCTTTTTAATGAAATGTGCTTTCTGAAGTGTCATTCGATCTACGCTCTATAAGGTAAATTTAGTCCCTGATGAAAGGTGATGTATCAACAGCCTGTAGGAGGAACTATCTACTGCTCAGTGCCTTTTACACTCCATGCCTAACCTGAAAAAGGGAGTAAGGTTCTTATGCAAACAAAACTACAGTCACCCAGCAGAGGAACATGCTAAACTGGTAATGGTATACCTAGAGAGCAGAAAACACACAGTCACACAGCAGAGGAACATGCTAGACTGGTAATGGTATACCTACGGAGCAGAAAACACAAAATGAGATGCAGTCTGTGATGGGTGTGTGTGGACCTGCTTCTTCAGATTTACAAAGAGCTTAAATGACAAAAATAAAAATAAAAATAAAAAATAAAAAACAAACCAAAGCTGGATGTGATGGTGCACCTCTGTATTCCTAGCACTTGGAGGGCAGGGACAGGCAGATATCTGAGTTCAAGGTCACCCTGGTCTACAGCATGAGTTCCAGGATAGCTAGGGCTTTTCACAGAGAAACCTGGCGTCAAAAAAACAAAAATAAATAAAACAAAATTTGAAAATAAATAAATAAAAATAAACCCACAAAGTAAAACAAAGAACTAAATAGCTTTTCTTCTAAACCTAGTGCCCAGGGGTGGTGGTGTAGTTCAGTTGGTAGGTAGGGTGCATGCCAAGCAGGCACAAAGCCCTGGGTTCAATCCCCAGCATAAACCAAGCACACACCTGTAATTCTAGCCCTCTGGATCATACAGTTGGACCAGAAGTTCAAGATTATCCTCACTAACCCCATCACAAGCTGATGGCTAGCCTGAACTATTTAAGACACGACTTGAGAAGTAGACAAAAACCTGACCTGGGTGGCGGTGGTGCACGCCTAGAATCCCAGCAAGCAACAGGGAGGCAGAGGCAGGCAGATCTCTGTGCATTCAAAGCTACAGAGTGAATTATAGGATAGACAGGAAAATCCTGTCTTAAAAACAAACCAAACAAAACAACACAAAATAAAACGAAAACCCGGTGCCCTCACAAACTGCTTCAATCTTGGGAGAGAATGGTTGGGAATATCACAGTCAAACACATGTAAGGCCTGAGCAGCAGGGCGGTGTATCTCAACAGTGACTCTCGGCCTTTACTGTACTAGGATTACCATTAGAGCTTTAGGACATACTAATGCCTTAGGCTGGGGCCATAACTCCACAGTAGTGCACATCCCTAGACCTCATGAAGCTTTGAGTTCCGTCACAAACACTGGAAAAAGGAAAAAAAAAAAAAAAGAAGCAATCTCAAGGCTAAAATAAATTTAAAAATTCCTAAGGGTGGGATCCTAGCATCACTACCATCATCATTATTATTTTGATACAGAGTCTCACTATGTAACTCTGGCTGGTCTAGAACTTGCTATGGAGGCCAGACTCAAGAGATCAGTCTGTTCTGACTCCCTGGTGCAGAGATTAGAGGTGTGCACCACCATGCCCAGCTCAAGCATTAGTATTTTTATGAAGCTCCTCACTTATTCTATTGTTCAGCAAAAGGCTGGGAATGTCGCTTCCAGGGGTAGAACACTTACTTACTGATCATGAATCGAGGCTCTGGGTTTAGTTCCAGTGAACACAGGCATGTGGACACACCCAAACTGGGCATGTTGGCATATGCCTGTTATTCTAGCATTTGGCCATGCCACTATTTAATTTCTGCGTTCTTGATACACATTGTGGATACAAAATTATATTTTGAAACTAAGGTCTGATAATGATGTTCAATGGCAGGACGTTACAGGCCCAGGAGCCTTGTGTTCAGTATTCAGCACACACATATAATCCTTCCCCATGACACACACAGAAGACAAGTACTCCAATAACAGAACTGAGAGGACTGTTCTCTTCTAACTGTCCCTACTCCTCACAGATCTTACCTCAATTGAATCATTACTACTTGGCAGTCTTCAGAAATATAAATAGATTTTGTGACTGCTGCCAGGGTTACTTTTTAAAGAATGTCCTGTTTTTTTCTCTCAATCTTCTCTAGTAAGCTCATACACAATTTTTTTGCCAAACCAAACTACTATAGTAAAACCTATGGATGCACCCATGGCATGGTCCATGTGATACACGGAGGAAGAGGGACTCAGACACCAGGTACCAAGTGAGAAAGACGTTTGTATCAGAGCATGAACATCTTCAAAACCCCGACCAAATCTCAATGGATGTTTTTCTGAAATCAAAGAGTGCAGCACAGCACAGAATTCAAACACTGTTTTGGAGCTCAAAGGCATTTTAGAGATTAAAATTCTGTGCCACCACATTCAACTAATTTGGGGAAAGTTTCTTATATTTCTTTTCTCTCTCTCTCTCTCTCTCTCTCTCTCTCTCTCTTTCTCCCCTCCCCTCTCATTTTTTGAGACAAGGTTTCCGAGTAGCCCTGGCTGTCTTGGAACTAGCTCTGTAGATCAGGTTGCCTCTGCATCCTGAGTGCTAGTATTAAAGACATGCACCATCACGTCTGGCTCGGGGAAAGCTTCTTCATCTACGGCTATGACTTCTCTTATTTGAAAACAGAAGTAAAGAGTGCAGGGGCTCTAGAGATGGTATAACTTATCAGATAAGAGCACTTGCTGCTCTTGTAGAGGACCAGGATTTGGTCCCCAGAACTCACATGGCAGCTCACAACTGTATGTAACTCGAGTTCTACAGGACCTGACACCCTCTTCTAGCCCCTGTGAGCACCACGCACACACATGGTATACTGACATACATGCAGGCAAAACACCAATACACACCAATAAAGTAAATATATCTAAAATAATAATAATAAAACAAAACGCAAAACAGAATGAGAGGGAAGTTTCTCTACTTTGAAACCTTAGGAAATAGAGAATTTGTCCAGGATTACAAGGCAATGTAGTCTTGAAGTACAGAATAGTTTGAAAACTCTGCTTTCTCTGCTGGATGGTGGTAATGCACACCTTTAATCTCAGCACTCAGAAGTCAGAGGCAGGCAGATCTCTGAGTTTGGCATCTACAGAGTGAATTCTGAGACAGCCAGGATTACATAGAGAAACACTGTCTCAAACAAGCAAACAAACAAAAAACAAAACCAACCAAAAACCAAAACAACAACAAAAAGAAAGAAAGAAAGGAAGGAAGGAAGGAGGGAAAAAAGAAAGAAAGGAAGAAAAGAAAACTAGGGGCTGGAGAGATGGCTCAGAGGTTAAGAGCAGCATTGCCTCCTTTTCCATAGGTCCTGAGTTCAATTCCCAGCAACCACATGGTGGCTCACAACCATCTGTAATGAGGTCTGGTGCCCTCTTCTAGCCTGCAGGCATACACACAGACAGAATATTGTATACATAATAAATAAATATTTAAAAAAAAAGAAAAGAAAACTGGGTTTTCTTCTTCCTTATCTCATGCTATAGCCAAACCTGACTCAGCCTCTCTCTCCCTTATCTCCGTGCCACCCCCACCCATTCTATTTTGATGGTCTAGAATTGCTCAGCCACAATCCAGACTTCTAAAATACTTTATGTTCAGTTAGAGATATATTCTTCCTGAGCCCCACTCCCTGCAGGTACCTAAAATGAAGTCTCAAGGGGTTCAGAAACCTGAGAGCTCAGCTTTGCACTTTCTTGGGTAGGGTGCCCTATTTTTGCTGTTCTTGCTGTCTGCCAACTCCCTTCTCTCCCCCAAGGTCTGCTTGGCTGTTGTCCTGGTTTCTCCTCACTAAATATCTGGGCTTCTGATCATTTCCTTCGTTTCCCAGATGTACCAGTTAGCATCTCCTCCAGTTACACCCCTTGTGTTCTCTAATTTGGATATCTAGACTCTGTAGGGGAAGAGGTTATTTTCTTTATGTAGAGTTTTAAGGTGAATTGACTATTTCCTGGCCATCACTTATGTGCAGCGAGTGTTCTGTTAGGTTTGGTGTTCTAGTCAGGGAACAGTACAAGAAGAGCAGGAGAGAATTTCAGATAGCCATGTCAAATTGCAGGTGAGACACAACAAACCTCCATTCAGGTCATGGAAATAGACTAAATGAGAAAAGTGTCTAAGGAGTTCTTATATGAAAACCCTGTCCTCTTCCTTCTTCCTCCTCCTTCTCCTCCTCTTCCTCCTCTTCCTTCCTTCCTCCTCCTCCTCCTCTTTCTCTTTCTCCTCCTCCTCCTTCTTCTTCGTTTGGTTGTTGTTGTTGAGACAAAGTCTCCTTATGTAGTCCTGGATAGTCTCAAACTCACAGAGATCTACTTGCCTCTGCCTACTGAGTGCTGGGTCAAAGCCGTGAGCCATCACCATTCGGCCACAAAAGTAATTTTATGGTTGGGGGCCCCTACGACATGAGGAACTATACTAAAGGGTTGCAGCATCAGGAGGTTGAGAACCCCTGCCATGGACAGTGTGGTGAAATCGGCGCTGTCCTCCCGCTTATGGCAGACTGACAGGCATTTCAAATGCTTTCTGCGCCCTATTAGTTTTTGCCTTTCATAGCTCAAATGCAAAGTTTACCTAAATTTTCTTGCTTCTTCTCAGTGTAAACCTTTATGGTTCCTGTAGGAAAGAACTTACAGCAACATCATCACACTTTCGGGGGTTCAGAGTCCCAAGTGGGAGCCATACGCTAAAAGGCTTGAGAAGACACCCCAGGCAGCCGCTTTTGACTCTTACAGAAACCCTTCCCTAAGCCATGGTTTAGGGAATGGGTGAGCAGATGGGAGGAAGGAGAGAAGAAGATGCCTCTTGGGGGCTGGGGGTGGTGTTCAGTCGAGTTCCACAATTGAACCAGCAGGGAAGCAGGACTTTGAGGCAACTCTGGGGCTCTAGGGGAGACCTCCTATAGAGCACAGGGAGGAAACATCCGGCCTACAGCAGCATGAAGGAGGCTTAATGTGTCTCAGGAGGGAAGGATGCCATCACCATAGAACCTCTAAATATGGGCACAGTGGGATCTTAGCCAAACAATAGCTTGGGGAAGATGTGCCCTACTCCAAACTTAACTTGTTTGTTAAGGTTTCATTGTACATGGTGCACTGACATGACTTAGAGGCATTTTTGTACAAGTGGAAAGACAAGTTCAATCCACGATTCGTTCTAGTCACCACAGATACTCTATCCCAGAGCCTCCCACGTCCCCTAAAGAAATGCTGAAGCTGCCCAGAGGTTCCTCAGTGGTCACTGCCCTCACATATGGTAATGATGACAGTACTTCCCATTAAGTACTGATGGTAGGTGTCACTAGGAAATGTGATTTATGCTGGAGATTTCCCCAAAGGACTTACACAAGTTACTAAGATGTTTAACAGATGAGGAAACTGAGGTACAGAGAAACTAAGTAAGCCAACCAAGCTTACATAGGTAGCCAAGAGGAGGGGATCCTAAAAAGTTTTGGAACATTTATCGTATATTTTTGGGCGTATCAAATGTTCGCTAAGCAAATGATTAGTCCAGAAGTTGGGCTTCCAGACTTCCACCTTGTGAGCACATGTAGCCATACTACTTAGTTCAAGACTGCCTTGCGTTTAAACATCACCTGGACACAGACACCAATTCCTACTAGTCCTAGCTCAGCCCTAGAGAGTGAGGACCACCAGTCGTAGATGTGGACAAGCACCTGGATTCCTAAGCTTTTGTGCTGACTCTGTCTTTTCGTTGTCTTCTTGTCCTGTCATGGCCTTCCACGTGCTGGAGGAGGGTTTTAAGAATGCACTGACTTATCCACCCAGCTGTGCTGGCGCATGTGCCTGTAATAAGCACACAGAAGGCAGAGGCGGGAGGATCAGGAGCTTAAGGCCAGCTTGGCTACATTGCTTGTTCTCTTCTCCCACAGGAAATTTGTTGGTTGGATTGCACTACGGTGCACATTTGTTCAGAAGCCTGAGCCAGGAGAATTGCTAAAAGTCCCAGGTCAGCCTGGGCTCTGGAGTGACTTCAAGGCTGCTCTACGGAGATTGTCTCAAAAACCAAAAGCAAATGACTAGCAAGATCCTTGCACAGTGACAGCATATACTAACAGGTATGCTAACTTGCACACAGGTATTATCTTTGCCTCCCTTAAAACACAAACCTGAGTCTGGGGTTGAGTTCCAGCCTCTCCTCCAGATGAGGAGGAGCACACCCTCTAGCTAGCCTGCATTCTGACCGACATTAGCTTTCTCCCTCAGGGAGCTCTAGTCTGTCCTCAGCTCAGCCCAACAATGAGAAACTTTATTCTCTTCTCCCTCAGGGGAACCTTCACGTTTATCCAATTCATTCCCTTGCAACCCAACTCTCCAGAAAGAAGAGGGGGAAATCCCATCCCTAAGAGACGGGTCTTCAGGTCTGAGGACGTTACTTAGCAACGGCACAAAGACCAGTGAGCAAAGAAGGACTTGGAGAGAAAACTCTTGAGTAGACAGAGCCAGTTTGAAAACTCCATTTCATCCAGAGAAAAGCAAGGAAAACACAAACAGATACCAAGGGGGTGTCTCCCCGCTACAGCTCATCATCCCACAGCCTGAGGTCTGCAGTCCCTTACAACCCCAGTGACCAAATTCTGCTCGGGTTTGGCTCGTGGCAGAGGTGCCCTCCATTGCCCTGGCCTGGACCATGCAGGTTTTGACTCAACCCTCCCCGCCCCGCGAGCCCCATCCCCGCTCCCGTTCCCAGCACCCACCGTTCTCAGATGCGCTGGGACCTTCGCAGTCGGAGATTAACTGCTGGGGTCTCCGCTGCTTTCGCCGAGACATTCCCGAGTAGAAGCGGTAGAGAGGGAGGGCACCACGCACTGAGTTTTAACTGGGTGACCTGGTCGGATCACCCTCTCTGGTCTGAGGCCAACGACTGTCTGTCCCCCAGCGCAAATCACTGTGAAGCAGAGGAATTCTCCCTTCCCAGAGACGGGCGGACTAGTGTGAGCCCTTCCCGACTCTCTTTCTCTCTCAGTCTCTCAAGTCTAAAGAAGAGACGCCCCCTCTTTTCCCCTTCAGCTTCTCAACGCTCCTGCAGCTCCTATTGTAAAAGCAAAAATCCTAATCTTTCCGCACACTCTTTTCTTTTGTACTGCGGAGGAAAGGATTTAACCCTCTCCTCCCTGTCAGGACTCTGCTGGCCTCCCTGGGACTGCCCCTGGCTTTTTTTTTTTTTTTTTAAACTTTTTTCCCCAAGATCTTTGCAAGAGCTTTTTGATTTTCCCATAATTGTGCCCCTGTGTTTGATAACGCTCAGCTTCTGGATTATAAACTTTAACACAAACTTTCTCATATATTTTGAATTTTAGGTCAAGAAGTCAGCGATTGTCAGGTGAAAATGGGAATACAAAAGATGGTAGATGGTGTGAAAATAGATGTTATAATAATAATGTAGTTATAGCTTTGATAATTTATTCAGATCTTCATTTAAACAATGTATTTTAGTATTGCAACTCTTGAGATTAGCTCAGCAGGTTTTCTTTTTAATTTTTAATTAAAAAGTCGTTATTGAGTCAGACAGTGGTGGTACATGCCTTTAATCCCAGCATCTGGAAGGCAGAGGAAGGGGGATCTCTGTGAGTTTGAGGCCAACCTGGTCTACAAAGAGAGTTCCAAGACAGCCAGGGCTACACAGAGAGAAGCCCTGTCTTGAAAACAAACAAACAAAAAAGTTATTATTGTGTATGTGTGCATGATACATGTATGATCATTCCTGACATGACATGGATGTGGAATCAAAGGACAACTTTGGGGAGCCAGTTTTCTCCTTACACCGGCAAGGCCTGGAACATTACGTCAGTTTTGTTGCCCCCCCTCGCTTACTTGGAGCTCCAGCTGGCTTGGAGCTCACTGTGTAGACAGGTTGGCTTCAAATCTAAGTAGATCTGCCTGCTCTGCTACCTAAGTGCTGGGATTGCAGGTGTGTGCCACCATACACTACGTCCACATCAGGTTTTATAAAGCTACCATGTACAGGAAATCCCGATTACAGATAGATCAGAAGGTGCATGGAGGTTAGGTAACCTGCCCAAGATTATACAAGAGACCCAGGGTAGACAGCCAGTAAGAAAAAAATCAAAGTGACACATCTGAAGGAATTTGATTTAAAATAGCACCACCGACGGCCGTCTTTTCTGGTCCTGCTCGGGTCTCGCAGGGGAAAGGATGCCTGTGAGTACACAGCCCATGATTTCTTTCTGCGCTTCAGAGTAAAAGCCAAAAGGAGGCTCTAGTGGATCTCTGAATTTTCTGTGATGTGTTCCCAGGCAGAAAATAACTGTGGCTTGGCAGTGGTGGCTCATGCCTTTAATTCCAGAACTCAGGAGGCAGAGTGAGTTTGAGGCCAGCCTGGTCTACAGTGCTGGTTCCCGGACAGCCAGAGCTACCCAGAGAAACTGTAAAGGATTCTGTGTAAAGGACTTAGCAGTGGGGCTGTGGTGCAGGTTACTAGTTTAGCACTTGCCTAGGATGGTGAATGGCTCTGCTTTAATCCCCATCACCAAGGGGGGAAAACACAAAGGGAATTCATTCAGCTGGGCATGCTGCTGCCCACCTGTGTTCCTAACACTCAGGAAGCAGAGACAGGATTATCATAAATTTAGGGCAACACGGGCTGCACATAAAGATGCTGAGTCAGAAAAAAAACATTCACTATTTTTTATTTATTCATCTATTTTTATTTGTTTGTTTGTTTGTTGCTCTATAGCCCATTCTAGCCTGAAGCTATATAGTCCAGACTAGTCCGAAGCTATATAGTCCAGAATAGTCCAAAGCTATACAGTCCAGACAAGCCTGGAACTCATAGCATTCCTCTTGCCTCAGCCATTAGAGTTCTGGGATTATAGGCATAAAGCCCCACACCCTAATTTTAAAAAATGAATCTAGCAACAACCATAAGTCTCTAGTCATCTAATGTATTGTTTTTTAACTTCTACTTATGGTATCCACCTGAGTGAGTAAGACTGGGTCTGGACTATCCCAGCCATGCCCTATCCTCTAGTCATACACCTGAATCCCTTCTTTTACCCCTGTGTGCTGTGTGGTCGGGTCTTCAGCGAGGCAAACCCTTGGTATAGGTTTTGCACTCTTGTCTGACAAGTCCTGGAAAGGGGGATGAAGAGGACACCCGACGAGAGAAGGGGTGCTGGGGATGACAAGGCAGACCCCACTAGCAGAGAGGTTTGGCGAGTCACGGTTCATTGTTTCCCGAGTTCCCAGAGTCTACTCTTTTCCAGATGTTTGCTGTCAGGGTCCTGAGTGGCTGTTTCACCCTCTCTTTTTGAAACTCCCGTGCCTGACACTTTTATGCTCATTTTAATGATCATCAGTTATCACTAGACTGAGACACCAACACCGAGGCAGGAAAGGATCTGGTTCTTCTGGGCAGTGACTGTGCCCTCTTTCCCTCTTCCCATCATTTACTTCCTTTGTGAGGAGGAGAAAGAAGCTCAGGAATACAGCGCTCTGATTTTCTCGGTATCTGTGTAACCTGTAAGGGGCAGACTTGGGAACCCAGACATGCCTTTTTTCTGAGTCTTGGCCACCTTTATCTTTTCCTGTTTTTCCCTCTTCTTTCTGGCCTTATTATGAAAGGAAGGGCTCTTCCCCCTCCTCTCCATTCTTCCACCTCCTCCCCTTTACCACATTTTTTTTTTCTCTTTTTACCTCTCCGTCATGGCCTCTTGACCTCCCTCCAGGGTTACAAAAGTGGGATGCTGCTGTGGGAATGTTAATGAGCCTTCCTCACAAAGGGGCAAAGACTCTACTTCACTGGATTGGAAAAAAAGCCCCTTTCAAAAGGGATTTCTGTGTGTGGTGAAGTGGAGAGGGGAGGGGAAGGAGAGAGAGGGAGGGAGGGAGGGAGGGAGGGAGGGAGAGAGGGAGAGAGAGAGAGAGAGAGAGAGAGAGAGGCGCTAAAGGAAGAGACCCCGTGACAAGAAAACATAAAAGCAGCAATCTTCCCCCTTCAAAAATGATCTAATTCTTGGAAAATGAATCAAGGACTTGGTTCTCAAGACACTGAAGGGCACTGGAGACAGAATAGGCACCGACTGGAAAAGGGGACTTGTTTCCTCGTCCCTCACTGCTCCATCCCTCCTGAGAGCCTGTGGCTCGGACATATTCTAGATGGAGAAGCTAGTGGCTCTGAGATTCTTTATGATATTTTCTAATATTTACCAGTATTTCCAGTTTGGGTTTTCTAATTGTCCATTGGTCTAATAAGTTCTAGAAATGGCTCATAGTATTGTTAAAGCCTTTAGTTCACAAAACCAGACCACTTGAGCATAAGCCAGTTCACTCATTGGTATATAGAGGTTGTTTCCGGATTTGCTAAAATGTATATTAAGGGGACAGAAGCGTAGTTCCTCGGGTAAAACACACCTGTTGGGTAAGTCTGATGACCTGAGTTCAGTCCCTGGGACCTATGGCGGCAGAGGACTGACTTCCGTAAGTTGTTCTCTTACCTTCACATGCATGCTGTGGTACCCACACACACTCATTCATACATCATACAAATACACATACATGCACATACAACACACATCATACACAAACACATATATTCTTGTCAGAGTACACACACATCAGATACATACCCAAGCACACACATAGACACACAGATACAAAGCACTTGCGCATTGCACACACAGACAGACACATACCCATGCACACACA